TATGGAGAATGTAGATCATTTACATAAACAGGAAATCAGCAGCTGGCGGAGGACCAACATATGTTGTCATGGTCCCGGTGACTGGCTGTGTGAGTTCCACCTCAGTGGAGCCCACATCAACACACCTGTCATGCTCACCTGTGTGTGATCCTGGATAATCACATAGCAGTATTGAAGACCACAACTATTCTTCATCTCTTCATCTGCGTACCTGTGTTAGTAATACGCCGCCTTTGCTTCTTGTGGTTTATTTGTTCGTGTTCACTTAATCCAGTCTGTCACATGTCCTCAGGTCTCCGCAGTGCCCCTCCTGACCTTTCTCGTGCTGTTTCAGAGACCCACGTTCGAGCTCCACGTCCACACACATTTCTCCCGTGTACTGTGTTTCTCTTGGGTCTGTAAATGAAGCCTAGTTAAGATTGATTCCTGCTGTCTGCGTCTGAATCTGCGTTTGGGTTCACATTTACATACTGGCCCCCAGGCCCGCTCCATCCATATACCCTATTGTTAAGAGATATATTCTAAAACACTTCTTCAGTAGAGAATCAGAGAGGAGAAACACACAGAATTTCTTGCTAGCAAGGGCATCTCTCAGAACTCACACCCCAAGAGTGAGTCTCAGAGAGTGGCCCTGAGGACTGCCCTGGTCCTTTATTTATACACTTCAGTGGGTGCTTGTGTGGTGTGTGTGTGGTGTGTGTGTCAGAGTGTGACCCCATAAATGACTTCCCTAAACCTGCTGGACTGGAAGTCCAGCAGTTCATCTAAACAAAAGCACTTAGACTGGAAACAGATATAACTACGTTAATCCTACCGTAAAACAATAAAACAAGGTACGACCTTTCCCATGCTCCTAGGATGTGGGGGTGAAAGCCAGAACACCCTGGAATGTTACAGACTTCCTAGGATGAGACATTCCTTCAATATGCCATCAACTATATACTTCTAAACACAAATGGTTACATGCAGTATTCTACCATATTCAAACTTATATCATTAAAAGATTATACTGACTACTAAGTAGAATTTTCCATTGACACCTATATATGATGGCCATAGAAGGGGGCACAATTACCCCTGAAATATGAATGCCTGTGCATAGAACCTGTGCTCTATTAAGCTATTTAAGCAGGATTATCATTTTTAGTTAAGTAAAAGGAAAATCAGTTATTTTCTACACAGAAACGTTCTTCTTGTTTGACGATGACTCTCACTGAAGCTAAAACAGTCTTAAACTGAACTGCTGTGATCTTTTCCACCAGTGGGAGAATATCTGCACTTTATCAGCCACAAACACTAAGCTACAGTATGAACCAGG